ATGTACTACGTTTGATATATCATCCTTGGTTAATCTGCAATTTATGTACTGGTTTGATATATCATCCTTGGTTAATCTGCAATTTATGTACTGGTTTAATATATCATCCTTGGTTAATCTGCAATTTATGTACTGGTTTAATATGTCATCATTGGTTAATCTGCAATTTATGTACTGGTTTGATATACCATCCTTGTTTAATCTGCAATTTATGTACTAGTTTGATATATCATCCTTGGTTAATCTGCAATTTATGTACTGTTTTATTATATCATCCTTGTTTAATCTGCAATTTTCTCTTTGTGTTCGAAGGACGTGTCAGTCATTCGTGAGTATATAGATTTTGTGTCAGCGTTCACGTGTGCCTGATTGTGCTGCTGTACGCTTGAACACGTTTGCGCTGTGCACAATGTTCCCGTTTATCTGTTTTCCAGTTATGGCATAATGGGCTTATCACCAGAATCCGAATGTGTGAGGAAAAGCAAATTGTATTTATCTTCGAGTGGGCTGTGCGTATGTTCTCGTGCTGTGCAAGGACATGCGTACATTCTGTGTCTTTTGCGAACCCTACTTTGCATGATCTTAGGTTTGGTTTCCATTCTTCTCGTTGGTGTGAGACCGAGTATGCATCCCAACTATCGGAACGTAAGTCACCTAAAGTGCAATTATCAAACGACAGACCCACTTGCACATCAACTTGTACAGAGAGCGCACAAATGGTCAATCTTGTTTGCACACGACAAACACATGTCAAAAGTCTAGAGTTGACACGAAGTTTCGTCTTGCTACACAATCCTTGCAGGAGGGATACGGCAATCGCATGAAGAACATGCTGGCCAAGCGCTTTTCTAATAAATCAGAGTATGCGAATGTGCATGTGTAGGGTTGCATATGTGTACACTTGTATGTTATTTCGCGTACTTTGTGTGTTTATTCCTTCAACTCGCAATGATTACATGTATGTGTGTCGGGGCATACGAGTTAGGCTGAGGTTGGGTAGAGTTTTAACTTGTTCTATTCAACATCTGACCCAGAATCTGACCATGCGTAGCCCGCAGGTGTTTGGAACTAATCGGAGCATGCAAGTCCAGTCCAATTCTAGTGTACCTGGTATTGTCATTCCATCACGTGCTGTGTTATTTCCATCACGTGTTCAGTTTTCAACATCGTTGCTATGTATGTCACATCATGTGGTAGTCTCCGCACAAGTGTGGGAGCGCAAAATCTGAGCATTGATGCGCCGCGTGTTTGTACGCATACATTTGTTATACTTATGTAACGTAGGGCATATATAGTACTAAGGATTTTTAAAGGGGGAACATACCCTCGCGCGTTATAGCAAGGAGTGACTTTCGATCTGTACGCCGAGTTTTTTTTCTCGAAGCTTTCAGTACGCATTCAGGTCCTTATAATGTGAAGGTGTAAAATATTATGTATAGTGAACTCTTTGTACGCAATTACAAGCATAGCGCAGGTAGGCCCGTCATATCTGTGACATGACAGCAAGCAGTACGTATCACCTCCAACACATGTGGATATGAAAACAGTAAACGCACACGAGTGTACCAAATATATCTATATACACGCACCAGTGTTCGTATGAGCATCTCATTTAACCTCACGCTTCGCTGCATGCTCCGTATCACAGAGATCCGAAGACGCAGGCCGTGGGCGTGCATCATCTGAGTGACATGGCTCTGCTGGTGCTGACGGACCACTTCCCCTCAACAATGCACCACAGTGGCGCTGAAGCCACCAGTGGTGTGCTCACCCAACTCATCCCCTTGTTGGCAGATCTTACAGGTGTGCTTATACTCTGCGTGTGTTGGGTTTGACGTGTACATAGTGTATTGCTTGTGCTGTGTATTAGGTGTGCAAAGTGTATTGCTTGTGTGTACACACGATTAACTTGTGAGCACACCCACACCCACACCCACCCACACTCATCCACACCCACACGCACGCATGCACACACACACACTCACACTCACACAAAAACACACACATACACACTCACAGAAAAAAAACACACTCACACACACATACTAAACACACCCAAAAATATACACATATACACGCGTGTATGTGTATTAAGTATATATGCATTATGTATACATGCACTACAAATTTTTGTAATCGTATATTTTCGATGCGATACAACAGTGGCGTCAAAAATACCACTGTCTTGTTAAACTAACCTGTCTAATCGGTGACTGATCCTCTTGGTTTTTGGTTCGTTATTACTTCCTGGATACTAAGTGTTTGATGCGTGCACACGCACAAATTGGTATATGTGTCTTATTTTATCTTGATAGTGTACCGCAGTGGCGTTGAGCCTAGCAGCGCAGTGCTCAGCGATAGCCAATCGTGCATCAACTGCAAGTGCACGTGTTCACCATCATATGATGACTCGTTTCAAGATTAGTAATATAGAAGTAGGTATATCAACAACGAGCTCAAACACATATGCCTGACAGTCGGGCAGACACACGAGAGTATTGTTTGAGTGGAGGAGCAAAGCGCTTCAAACCTTCGCCTCTGGTCAGCAGTACATGGAGAGACCCTTTGCAAATGGGTACACCACAACTAATGCCACACACCATGACAACACATCCAACCAAACCCAATACCACGCACAAGCAATGCCACACTCCATGACAACAACAACCAACCAAACCCAATACCACACACAAGCAATGCCACACTCCATGACAACAACATCCAACCAAACCCAACACCACACACAAGCAATGCCACACTCCATGACAACAACATCCAACCGAACCCAATACCACACACAAGTAATGCCACACTCCATGACAACAACATCCAACCAAACCCAATACCACGCACAAGCAATGCCACACTCCAAGATAACACATCCAACCAAACCCAATACCACACACAAGCAATGCCACACTCCGTGACAACAACATCCAACCAAACCCAATACCACACACAAGCAATGCCATACTCCATGACAACAACATCCAACCAAACCCAATACCACGGACAAGCAATGCCACACTCCATGACAACACATCCAACCAAACCCGATACCACGGACAAGCAATGCCACACTCCATGACAACAACATCCAACCAAACCCAATACCACTAACTCCCACAATCAGCCTAAATCAAGACCCATTTTCTCATCGATTTTACAGCCGGGAAGAATACCAAGCATTCGCTGAGAGCAGTGGCTGAGCTCTTGAACTCGTCGCCCACGGGGATCACAGCGTTTGAGCTGATCCATGGCAATGTGGTGCCCCAACTGGTCACCTATCTGCTCAACGGACACTCGGCGCACAAGTTGGACTCCCACGAAGCGCGTAGGCTCAGGGATGCGAGGGAGAAGGAGTTTATGGAGGTATATAGACGCTCCCAGACTATTTCCAATGGGAATGTGTGTTAGTGTATTCTGATGGTGCTTGTGCAGGAGTTTGTTGAGGTATATAGACGCTCCCAGAATTTTTCCAAAGGGAATGTGTGTTGGTGTATTCTGTTGGTGCTTGTGCAGTAGTTTGTTGAGGTATATAGACGCTCCCAGAATATTTCCAATGGGAATGTGTGTTGGTGTATTCTGTTGGTGCTTGTGTTTGTGCAGTGTCGATAGGGTCTGTGTGGCCATGGGACCTGTGTGCTAGCGTGCTGTGTTTACCTAGTTTCAGTGTAGGTGGATGTCGGATTTACTACGCACGAGTGGGACTCACAAGAATCGCTTGTGAATACAAGGACAAAGAAGCGTATCTGCGTATGCAAACACAGCCAGATTGCATTCTAATAGTGATGTGCATCACTCCATGTGTAGTTGAACTGTCGATGGATATCAATCCTCTAATCGGAGACACTACGCATAAGCGGGTCACGTACCACACTCGTGTTTTGGATGATTATAGAGAAAGTGTATTTCGAGGCATTCGCAGGCACGATACCTTGGATTTGGATTGTGTGCGTGCATATCACCATGTTATAGTTGTAGCTTTGCGAACTCAACTGGTCCCTAATGTGATCCACGGCAGAAACGGCAGAAATCCCCGACGCACCACACGCAGTCGAATGTTGTGCTATACCATGAGTATGTGTATGTGTTTGAAACCGTTTATCAAGTCATAGTATCCCACTCCAGATGCACCTACACTCCACTTTCATCTACACAATGATGTTACTTGTGTATCAGTTCACATGTACTTCTTATGTACCTGCATTTATATCGTTATTTGTTCACACACGCACACATACATACATACACACACACACACACA